GCTCTGGGTTATCGAAAGTCATATATTTTTTTACCTTTTCCCAGGACATAATATTTTTATTTAATGCTATAATGTCTCGATTTTGAGTTTTCCGACGCAATAAGCAGTATCAGATATATTGCTATTAATTTTGCGTCCAAAAAGCAGTTTTTCCAATTTTCAAAAAAAAATCATATTTTCACCGAAAAAGCCAAGTCCATGATTTTTCCAAAATATTGAAAAAAATAGTTTTCCTTATATTTCAATAGAAATATGCCAATGATATAAGACTTTCAAAATGGATATCCTTTCTTCAAAATTCCCAATAGTTATTTCATAATCTGTTATCAAAATTTTGGCTATCTTCCATTTTACACTTTCTTTTGTTTTTGTCTTCGGTTATATTCTAAACAACGAAGAGTTTTAAAAACTGGATTATTCAAACAAAATCGCAACATCTAAAATGCCATGACGTTTCTTATAAAATAAAAACCACGTTTGGCATTGTTTTTAACTCTGGGTTATCGAAAGTAATATATTTTTTTACCTTTTCACGGGACATAATATTTTTAGTTTTCAGACGCAATAAGCAGTATCAGATATATTGCTATTAATTTTGCGTCCAAAGAGGAGTTTTTCCAATTTTCCAAAAAAAGTCATATTTTCACCGAAAACCCAAGGCTATAGCCCATGTTTTTTCTCAAATTTTGAAAAAAAGTTTTTCCTTATATTTCAACACAAAGATGCCAATGATGTAAGACTTTTAAAATGGATATCCTTTAATCAAATTTCCCAATAGTTATTTCATTATCTATTATTAAAATTTCGGCTTTCTTACATTTTACTGTTTCTTTTTTTTTCTTCGGTTATATTCTAAACAAAGAAGGGTTTCAAAAATAGTGTTATTCAAACAAAATCGCAACATCTAAAAGGCCATGACGTTTCTTATAAAATAAACACCACGTTTGGCATTGTTTTTACTCTGGGTTATCGAAAGTCATATTTTGTTTTACCTTTTCCCAGGACATAATATTTTTATTTAATGCTATAATTGTCTCGATTTTGAGTTTTCCGACGCAATAAG